GAGCCATTTCCGTGCGTGGTTGTATGCAAGATTGATGCTACTTCGAGATGGCGTAGAGACGATCCGATGACGATGAAGCAAGCGCTGGACGTGGACGACTGGTTCTACCGCGTCGCTGACGTGTACAGCTACTCTAGTAAGTCGTTTGAATGAGCGATGGCCATGCATCATGGTCCTGCAATGCTAGAGGAGCAGCTTTTGGAGCGCTTTTATCGTGGCAAGTACAAGAAACAAACGCAATTCTTGCCACTCGACCATGTCTGCCACGGTACAAGACCTAGTACGACGTTGTCTAAGTTCCTCTCTCTAGTGCTCAACGACCTCGAGCCGAGTGCGCGTGACCCATTGACGCCGGCCATGCAGCGCTTTCTACGCAGTTTTGCTTCCAAACACAAGGGTAATTTCATTGTCTCGCATGTTGAAAAACAGCAAAATGAAGTGCACTGTGTAGGCGAGTATGTGGTCGATATGGTCGCGGCGTTGGACAGCCTGGTGTTGTGGCCCGCGGCCAAGCGCCGTGTCCACGAAGCACAGCGACCGCCTGCGACACCACCACCATCAACGGCAGTACGAGTCTATTTTCCGAGTTGTTCCTCAGCACCGAGCTTGACAATGCCCGAATAGCCACCACGGAAGCCATCGCTGCCGCTGACAGTCGAGGAGCCACTGCTCGCCGACATTGCCCGGGCACTGGGCCCGTACGTTGTTGCTTGCTGCTGTATACATCGCGCCTAAAGGACACGATACGTAGGGACGGCGTGCAGCATGCGAGGGAGGTTCGTTGCAAGATTTTTTTCCTTTTTCAGTCTACAGGTGCAATGAGAATATGTGCACTAGCTGCTCGTACGCCAAACCAAGGAAGCCTACCAGCACCTCGATCACGTGCTATCGACGCTCCAGTCGCTCGTTCGTTTCCGCGTACAGAGCATCCTTTGGAAATCATTTCTTATTGACACTACTGGATAGATATTGCCCGATGCCTTTTACGATCTCTGCGTCGGCTTTCCCATGTCGGACGCGACGCATGTCGATGCTCGCGCTCTTGTTGACGCGGTGCGTCTGGTCATTTTCGATCCAAACCAAAAAAGTTGCGTTGAAATAGATGCACGATCACCTGCGCTTTCAAGTGCGTCCGACGGTCATCACGTCGCACGAACTCGGCGCCAAGCCACCTGCTTCGCCGTTGGAGCAACTCCGCGAGGCGTTTCGCACGCACCGTATTTCGCACCGGAGCCTTCTCCAGCAATGCAGTCTCTTTGACTTTGAAGACGACGGGTACCTTGCCCTTCCAGGTACTTTTCTATTCCTGTGCTCGCAATGCATTGGGCAAAAACAAGGCAATTGGATTCACAAAATGTGCGTGTTTGTAGCATGTCTCTCAATTTTACAGTCGTTTCCGTGTCATACGCTCTCGACGACCGAGCTCACGGCGCTTTTGCAGCCCTACACCGAGGCGCGTCGTCCGCCCATCGCATCAAAAGACTATATGAACCCAATTTCTGCGTAGAGTCACTGCGTCCAGTACCACGCAATGGCCGATGCGCTCTGTGCACCACCCGCCAAGGTGTACACACCACGGTAGACCGACGCACCATTTCTCCTTTTGCGATAGAACAATTGTCAAAACATGGTTAGATCGGCCAGTGCCAAAACGAGTCAGAAAACACCCAACCCTTGGGCGGCTCTCCAAGCCAAGCTCTATCACGACACGACGACCGAGTCGCGCGTCTACGACAAGCTACACGCGATTTTTCAAAAGCTCAGCGCTGACCATACGCAGTGCGACATCAAATCCCCTCGCTACCATCATTTTACGATTTAAATCTTATTAGCATCTCGGAGCACGACCTCCATCGCGTCCTTGGCAACCACTGGTCCGCCGCCGAGATCGCGTGGGTTACCCAGACCTTGCACCAGGTACCATGGCTTTTCTTTTCATGTATTTTTGAAATTAAAACTGAAAAATTGTGGTATGTTAGCGCGGCGCTGACGACGAAATTGACATGCATGCGTTCTACGAGCACGTGTTTCCGCACGTCCCTCATGACGCTCGGCGCGTCAGTCCTCGAAAAAGCCGAAGCGCCGCGAAGCAGTCCAGTCCGACAAAATCGAGGCCGCGCTCTTCCAGCCCGCGGAAACCAGCTCGCAGCCCGAGTCCTCGCCGACGACAGAGTCCGTCGCCAACGCGAAAGGAGATGCGCCCGTCGTATGTGACCAAGTTGAAGCACGTTCATGTCGCCCGGGCCGAAGTCAAGTCGGCCTTTGAAGAGTTTGCGGCGCCGTACTCGGGGTCTGCATTCTCTCTTTTTGAATCTCAAACCGAAAGTAAAAACTCTAGCTATCTTACCCCTCGGCAAGCGGTGAGCGCAATCGAACACTTGACGTCCCCGGTGGAATGGACCGAAAATGAGCTGGACGATATGATTGTGGCTCTCGACACGGTATTGCAGTCTACAAATTTGAATGCTCACATTTGAATCTGAATCTGAATTTCAAATTAGGCGGGGAATGGCCAAATCCGACTGCAGCGACTCTGGGATCTCTTGTCTCAGAAAGGTCAGACGACGACCTTTGGCACGGCCAAGCGGTTTGAGAGCGACGACGACGATGCGGTGCACCCGGCCGCCGTGCGACCGTACCCAGTGCCAAGTCCCAAGGCCCGGCGCGCGAGTCCTCGCAAGTCGCCGCCGCCCCGACGCTCGACGAGTCCATCCAAGCGCAATCAAACGCCACTGCGTAAGTCTACATCTGGCAAAAGACCCAGAAAAGACAAAGAAACGTAGGGTCCGACATGGCCGATATCGTGCGCCGGCTGCGTCATGCGATCACCACGCACTCGGTTTGCCTCATTTTTTAAAATGGATCGATGACAATTGTGTACAACGGTAGATCCCTCTGCACGTTCTCTTGGATGATGCCGACGACGGCAGTGGTCGGCTCTCGGCGCGCCAACTGTGCGACGTCCTTTGGCCCATTGCCGACCAGTACACGACCGTCAAGCATGAGAAGCTCGTATCGATTCTGGAGCTCCTTGAAGCGTTCGACTTCGTCTGCGATTTATATCCCTTTGGTGTCAACCGATGTGTGTAGGTCGGATGGTACCGTCGGGCTCACCGACGTGGCCGATGTCATTTTTGACTGGCCGGGTTTGCAACAACACTTGCAGTCGATTGCGTCGTTTTCTGGTAGACCACTGCACTTGATCGATCGATACATCGATGCATCGATGCGATATGCATAGAGGTGATGACGCTGTTTCAAGCGCGGGACCCCGACCACCACGGCCGCCTGCGCCTCGCACCTGATTTTGAACATGCGTTTTTCAAGGTACACTCATTTTTATATACAATATTGGATCTAAATTGTGAGACAGATTTTCCGCACGCAACTCCAAGCGTGGGAACTCCGGGTGATGCACGACCGGTTTGGCGTGACGCTGTCGGGCGAGCCTTTTATCGACTATGGCGCGCTCGTGACCTTTCTTCTGCCGCGATCGCCCGTCGATCTGTTTGAAGACTTGGTTGATAAAGTCGTACCCGGCAAGTCGCAGGTACCTACCCTTATATTGCTCGACATCTTAATCGAATCGAGCACAATGAAATGCTATGTAGGGGGACCAGGAGATTTACCGCAGCTTTAAACGCTTTGATATGGACGAAAAAGGGTACTTTGACCGAAAAGACGTCAAACGCATGCTGCAAGAGTCGCTCGATGTGACGCCATCGCCCGACGAGGTACTTGACAATTCAAAGCAGTTGCACGATAAATGCTCTGTTTTAGGTGGACGCGGTGTACCGGCAATTTCTGTCGCCGTCGTCTACGGATCAAGTACGTTGCTTGTGCAATCTCTGTTATTGTACTACCTTGTTTCAATCGTTAGGTCGTGCGGCTGCAGCGGTTCCGAGCGATTGCGCACCAACGGCTCTAGACTCGATAGGACTTGTGCATTTTTCTCTCCTTTTTATATCAGGAAAACACTATCATGAGTGTAAACTGCAAGCGTTCCGAGACGCGACTAGGGAGACCCATCCGCACCTCCCGCCCTCCTTCCGCGTACATGTAGTGCATTAGCTCGCGTGCGATATTTGACGGTAGTCGGTTTGAAAGTACCTTGCTGACATTGTACATTGTACCACGTAAGCTGCGGCTGCACAGCCGAGATCGTCAAGTCGCACAAGAGGAGATGTAGCATCCTTCAACGATCTTGTTGTCGATCAGGTCCACCGAGTTCCATTAAGTTCTTATGGTCCCTTGGACCCAGTATGGCATCGCACCTCGACCGCCTTGGGATCTACTGCACTAGAGTAAGGGTAGCCGAGGGAACGATCCGGCGCCGACGCAAGCCATCCATTGGTCAAGCAGCGAGAAAGAGAGGAAAGCGTTTAGCTTAAGCTTTCAATTCAAAGTATAGTTTTGACATGGCTAAATACCAGACTGTGGACGTGAGGACATAAAGAAGACAGACGATCTAGTTTAGAGAAAACACACCAACACTCGAGAATGCAAACTGGATATGGATTGTCAATGCAAAAAAGCTGCGTGCGTCGGTTGCTTAGGGCTCCTCGCTGATCGAGGAGAGGTCGTTCGCGGGCTGCTTCTTGGTCGTAGAGGCCATCGCGTCGGGCGTGAGGTCGTTGTCATCGTCGTCAAACGCTTCATCAACCTCGGGATCGTACAGGCGCTTGGCGAGGTACTTGACAATCTGCTTGGCTGTCGGGCGCGTCGATGGCACTTGCGCCCAGCAGGCCGTCGCAAGCTTCCGGAGCCAGCGCGGACAGTCTTGGCCAAGATCCGGACGCAGACCGTTCTCGCGAATCTTCTTGATGGTGCTTTTTACGTCGCCGGCGACCTCCACGTACGGCTCGTTGCCCGTCGCCAACTCGGACAAGACGATGCCAAACGAGTAAATGTCGGCCGCCGTCCCATACGCGCGGTCTTCTTCATACGTCGAGCCGCGAAACACCTCGGGCGCGGTCCACAAACCCGTGCCCGTGTCGCTAGTCATGTCCCGCTCCACGGTTCGTGCCGTGCCAAAGTCGCCGAGCTTGACGCCATGGATGGACGAGATGAAGATGTTCAAGCTCTTGACGTCGCGGTGCACCTTGCCAAGGCTGTGGATGACGTCCAGTGCGTTTGCCACCGCCCACGCCACTTGCATAGTCGTAAACGGCAACTCGCTGGACGGGTCCTCGCGCTTCTTGGCCAGCTGCACGTGCATGTCCTTGAGGTCCATCAACTCAACGGCCATCTTTGGCGCGTTCGAGGCATGGTCAACAGCCGCCAGCAACGGCACAACGTACGGACATCGACACCTACCCCTCTAGAATACAGTACGAGACGAAGAGCCGAGAGTCCTACGCTGCAGTGTTGTTCATTTCTTCGCGCATCGCACGGGCCACGTAGACTGAGATGCGATTCGCCACCTTGAGGGCGACGTCGCGGCCTTGGTATGTCGCACGAAAGACAGTGCCATTGTTACCGTTGCCCACCGGCAGGTGCTGGACGAGGTCGGCCATCGAGACCTAGATTACTTGAGCACTCTGGAAGGTGACCCAAGGTGTACCTCGGTGGCTGCTGGATACACGTGGTCGTTGAGGTACGTCGCAATCTCTTGGTGGCGGCGCTGGGCGGCCGTCGCCAAAATGGACAATGTTTGTCCGGTCTACATCGTGTGTGACGTAAACGTTTACGACCTAAATAATTGCTGGTTGTGCACACCCGCATGGGCAGCGTGGCGTCCGCACCGGCGTCGAGAAAGAGATGCACGAGCTTCTCGCGCTTGGTGAGGACGGCGCGGGCCAGCACCGTGTACCCGTCCTAAAAGCACCCCATTTGAGGCTTATACGAGGAGGAAATCCCAGACGCACTGCGTCCACTTGGTTGATATCGAGGCTCGGAGCCTCCAAAATGGCGTGCAGCAGTGTCATGTCGTCGTCATCGTTAGAGAGCTCGGCGGCAACGTGAAGCACCGAGGACCCATCCTACAGTGTAGACTCCATCAAACAGATTCAACCATATGCACTAAAAGACTAAAAGACGCACCGGCAGCGGGATCGAGACATTCGCGCCGACGCTAAGGAGCAGCAATGCAGTGTCGACGTGGTTGGCTTGGACTGCCAGCGCAAGCGCAGTGTAGCCTTCCTATAAACAAATGCGACCGATTACAGAGCCCGCTACGAAACGTCATCGAGGTACCTCATTGACGGCGTCCAGAATGAGGCTAGAGGAGGCGAGTAGCATGCTGAGCAGCACCAACGACCCATTTTCTGCAGCAATGTGCAGTGGCGACGGACCACTCTGCGATGAAACAATGTATTGCAAGAATGGGAGAATCAAGAAAATGCGTACCGTCGTCGTCACCTGCATCGAGTTTGCAAACGTGTGCAGCACGTCCATCACGAGAAGCACTTTCTCGTTTGCTACCGCACCCGCGAGGGCTTGCTGGAGCACCTACTTGCAGAATTTACAGTCAGCGGCCACGTAGTTCAGGGTTGGACAACCGATTGCAGCTGGATGGCATCGTTCGCTTCCACCACCATTGAGAGCAGCGTGCGCAGGAGCTCTCGGTTGCCAGTTGCAGTGATGGCAGTGACAAGCGCTTCCTGCATCGTATAGTAGAGGTGCTGGTTTAGGTAGGGATACGCACTTGATCTTGGTACGCCAAAACAGAGACGCCTTCGCGCAACAGCGTCAATGTGGTCTCCCAGTTGTGCGCCGCGATTGCAGCGGCTAAAGCAGCTTCCTGCAAGCCGGCACATACACTTTTGATTGTACAAGCGATTGCATTACCTTGTTCTGGGTCTCTTGCTGAAGTCGACTGAGCTCGGCCTCGATGAACGTGTTTGTGGCTGTCAACTGATCGAGGATGGTCCCCGATACGAGTGTAAAGGCTGTCTTGCCCACCTATTGGGATGTACTACAGGTAAAAGTCCGCAAGCGGGATCCAGTACTAGTACCGCGTTGCACTGGCCGAGATGCGCTTGCGCCGCAAGCAACACCTTGCGATGCGTCATCAAGGCCTTGTAGGACGCAGTATCGTCCGACGTCATTGTCGGAACGAGTTGGCGGAGAAGGACGTTGACAACGTCAACGTGGCCTTGGGCAGCAGCGACAAAAAGGGCGGATTCGCCAGCCTACACAAATCATCAACGACGCTGAGAGGGGTGTTGTGTCGTACGTGGTTAGTAGCGCCGATGCAGCTGTCGTCTTTGATGATTTGGAGAAGCGTCGTGACGGTGGTCGCGTGGCCCTTTGCAGCCGCGATGTGCAGTGCCGTATTGCCACTCTGTTGTATCGCTCCAAACTTAGTGTTGCGTAACGTTTTGGTGAGCGTACCCGGTCGCGACGACGCAACAGCAACTTGTCGCTTTCCAGAAGCGTGTGGACCACAAGCGTGCGGCCGTACTCATCCGCAAGGTGCAGCGCCGTCTTGCCATACTACGCAATGGAGCGAGCATGAGCGGTGTTGTGGTTTTATGCAAAACGAACGTTTTATCGAATAATGGTGTGAATTTTCATGACAACGCACCTTGTTTGTAGCATCGAGATTGGCGCCGTGGGCCACGAGAAGACGAACGACCTCCACGTCATTGCTTCTGGAGGCAAAGTGCAGTGGCGTCTCGAGAAACTACGCAGCAAAACACGTGCAATAGGTCGACGAGTATAAGACGCACATTCTCCAAACAATACACGTACGTTGGTTTTGGCTTGGACATTGGCGCCGTTTTCAAGCAAGAAACGAACGATCTCCAATCGACCCTTGAAAGCTGCAAAGTGCAGTGGTGTAGAACCGAACTACACCAATATGAATATCAATCTCCGTGGACATGGATAATCTATGTCATAAGGAGATCCGACGTACACTGTTTGTGCAGCTGACGTCGACGCCGTCACTGAAAGAGGATCGGACGACTGCCAACCTGTCATATAGTGCAGCGTCGAGAAGCGCATCCTACATCGTCGTATGAGCGTCGATGCATTGGCGTCGATATCGTTTACCTCCTTCCGCTCCTTCTGCTCCTTCTGCTCCTTCTGCTCCTTCTGCTCCTTCTGCTCCTTCGTCTCCGTTGTCTGCCACAGACCAAACATTTTGTAAAGTAACGAGCGTCTACACTCTTCCCCTTTTCATTTTCTGATTTTTCCTGTACAGTTTAGTAGCAAGCTGGCCTCACTCGAAACTTGATACATACATAGTACTCGCAGATCCTTGAGACACCTCCTTCCCGTCCGGTGCTGCTACCTGCTACATGTACAAATATGTGTATGATGCAAGTAGCAGTAGACGATACAATGTATCGTCTACTGGTAGTTCAGCTTAGCGTCTGGCACCAAAAGCTCTCCCGTTGGCGATTGATCATCCTTCGGCGTTCAGCTTCACGGTGGTCAGGTACCACAATCCCGTGCAAAACTTCGGTGCACATTTGCGTGCAAAACTTCGGTGCACATTTGCACAGGATTGCTGAGGTGATAGGAGGAGGATGCCCTATCACCGAGATGTCCCAAGTGCAATGCTGGCCGTCGACGCCTGTTGAGGGGTGTTTTCAATCGCGTTTTATTGTTTAAACCGCCGCGTGCGAGTCCCGCACACGAGCGTCCCAGGCAAACGGGCTGTGTGTTTGGTCATGCTTGCGTCGTTGTATCACCCAATGCCGGGTCGTACCGTATGTATTTCAAATATCATTCCGCCTTGATACTGTTAATGGAATCATTGAAGTATCAAGTGCGCAGCCATTGTGATTGGTCAGTTGTGCAGTTGAGCGATCCATGTCTCGGTTCTGGACAGGCGGTCGCTTGAGAGTGACGGATACGGATAATAACGTGCGTGGATTGATGGAAAATCAGCCAATGAAAAGCGGTAGAATGTGGACGCAGGTCACTTTGCCAAATGTTTGGGCGGCGGCAGACGACGGAGACGACGGAGACGACGGAGACGACGGAGACGAAGGAGCAGAAGGAGCAGAGGGAGGTAGACGCCAATGCGACTTGCATCGACGCTCATACGACGATGTAGGATGCGCTTCTCGACGCTGCACTATATGACAGGTTGGCTGTCGTCATATCCGCTCTCCGTGACGGCGTCGACGTCAACTGCAAAGACTGCGTACGTCGGATCTCCATTTGAAATCGCTGGCCATGGAGATTATTGATATCAATATTGAATTAGTTTGGTCGGACACCACTGCACAAAGCTGCTCTCTGTGGTCATTCGGAGATCGTCCGTATCTTGCTTGACCACCGTGCCAAAGTCAATGCCAGAGATAGAGTACGTTTGGTGTTACAAGAATGTCTCGTTGACCTATTGCACGTGTTTTGCTGCGTAGTATCTCAGCACGCCACTGCACTTGGCCTCGCAATGCAATCACGTGGAGATCGTTCGCCTTCTCTTGGCCCACGGCGCCGATCTCGATGCTACAGACATAGTACGTTTTCATGAAACTTCGCACCATTGTTCATGCTCGCTCGATTGTATAGTATGGTGAGACGGTGCTGCATCTTGCGGCTTATAAAGACCACACGGCGGTGGTCCAAACGCTGCTGGAAAGCGACAAGTCGCTGCTGCGTCGTCGCGACTCGGTACGCTCACCAACAAAATTACGCAGCACTCATTTAATACGATACAACAGAAGGGCAACACGGCACTGCATGCGGCAGCTGCAAAGGGCCACGAGCAGACCGTCACGACGATTCTCCAATTCATTGAGAACGATAGCTGCATCGACGCCACCAACCACGTACGACACAACATTCGTCTCAGCATCGTTCATGTCGGACGTAGGCTGGCGAATCCGCCCTTTTTGTCGCTGCTGCCAATGGTCATGTCGACATTGTCAAGGCCCTTGTACACGCCAACGCCAGGACCCACCGCGTTTCCAACGTATACAAGAGGACCTATTTACACCTGAAAATGAGGCATTGCAACGCTAGGATGGGTCGACCTTGCTGCACGCGGCCGGTCTGGGCGGAGACTCCGATGCTCTTTGTTATGCCCTATCAAAGTGCGGCGATGCCTTGGAGACACGTGACGAGGTGCGCATCATCGTCTGTGTGTAGCCAATGACATATTTCTGCTTGTAGATGGGGCGCACGCCGCTGTACGTCGCGGCCGAGAAGGGCCATGGCGGTGCCGTCACGGCCTTTCTCGAAGCCCAAGCCGACCTCTTTGCAATCAACAAGGTAGATTCTGTGATGCACTATAGTCGGTCAAAGCACTAAACATGGAGATCTAGGTCGACAAGACGACCGTGCTCATGGCGGCGGCCACCAACAACCACGGCAACGTCGTCAACGTCCTTCTCCGTCAACTCGTTCCGACAATGACGGCGGTCGATACTGCGTCGTACAGAGCCTTGATGACGCATCACAAGCATTTGGCTGCGGCGCAAGTGCATCTCGGCCAGCGCAACGCGGTACCTATTACACCGGTTCTACTCTCTCTGATCTTGTCAACTACCCTCGCCTAGATGCGCAAAACAGCAATCGAGATTGCCTCCAGTGCCACAAAGCAGCTCATCGAAAATCGTGTGACATCCTTGCAAGCCGACCTCGATCGCACTCACCTCGCCATCCAAGCCAAGGTGCGTCGATCAACTAGTTATACGGGTACAAACTATCTCTTGTTGGATAGGAAGCGGCGCTGGCCAAGGCCATGCAAACCCAAGAGTGGACGATGACCAAGCAATTGCTGCGAGAAGGCGTCCCCGTCACCTCTCTCGACCGTGTCGTACGTCCTTCGGTAGATGCGGATAGACTCTTGAGACTCGACATAGGGTGATATCGTGAACGCGGGTGACGCAGAGCTGCTGCTCACACTCGTGCGTGCGATCATGGAAGCAGACAATATGATGTTACTTCAAACGCTTATCCGAACTCCAGAATTGTCAAAGCCGGCCCGTAACCAGGTATTTTAGCCCAATGCCACCCGTCTCTACATATTTGGACTGTAGCTGGCGCAAGATGCGCTCGTGACGGCGGTAACGAGCGGCAAGACGCTGTCTGCGATGAACCTTCTCCGCATGGCCAACGTGAACCTCAATCTCGTCACGGTATTTGCATAAGTGCACACATAGTATCTTGAACGCAACGTGATTACATAGACGGAGGGGCCGTCGCCGTTGCATCTAGCGGCCAAGATTGGCTCGGACCGCGTACTGAGCATGCTCCTGGCAGCGTCGCGCGAAGACGTCGACACGATCAACGAGGTCTGTTTGGTTCTACTCCCGAGTCATTCTTATACGTGGGCTTGGTTTAGGGCAACACGGCGCTGGCCATTGCAGTCCACAAAGGTCACGTCGACGCTACCAAGGTGCTTGTAAGCGCCGGTGCGAATCCATCGTTCGTGCTGCCGGTAGATACTGTCTTCTATCAATGAGCTTATTCTGATGCAATCCATAGTCTGGCTACACCGTGTTGGCCACGGCCGTGCGACGTGGGCACCAGGAGCTGGCCCAGCTTCTTCACGATGGCATCTACACGACCGTCCCAACCGTAAATTGTTTATCCACCTTGCACCCTTGAAAGACGTGCGAGTAGGTTACCGCGGCCGCTTTTTCGGGACTGGAGCGTTTACCGGACGGTGGGTTTGGCGCCATCGAGAAGGTCAAATGGAGCAACAAATGCAATGATGACGTTCTCATCCGCAAGCGGCCTCTCCACGGCTATCGATCGGCCATAAAATCGTTCCGCAGCGAAATCCAGTTGATGCAGTCGTACGCACCCGATCCCGACGCTTGTCGCATCATTTAACACTCTGCATGTATTAGGTGTTGGTCGCCGTACTTGCTGCCGGCGCTGGCCATCGTCGACAACCCGACGGACGGCGTCCAAGTGGTGACTCCATACATGAGCGACGGCGACCTCTTCCACTACCTCGAGAAACAGCGAACATCCACGCCCAACGACAGCAGCGACTCGAACGTGGAATTCTCGATCGTCCATGTCGCCTGGGTCATCGCCAACGGGCTTGCGTACTTGCACGCGAAGAACATCATCCACCGCGACCTCAAGAGCTTGAACGTCTTTCTCTGCGCCAAGCACGGAGTTGTCCTCGGCGATTTTGGCATCGCGCGGTCCATTGAAGACAACATGACGGCGGGCGCAGGCACGGACGTTTGGATGGCCCCCGAAGTGCTCCGAGAAGAGGATGAGGGAGACCGGGTGTACGATGCGTCGGCCGACGTTTACTCGTTTGGTGTGATTTTGACCGAGCTCGACACGGGCCGCGAGCCATATGCGGACTCGACCCTCAAGCGATTTGAGATTTTGACCCAGGTCCGCACGAACAAATTGCGTCCGACCATGTCCGACAGCTGTCCGCAGTGGCTTGCCGACCTCGCGGCCGCGTGCTTGTCGTTTGATCCGTTGCAGCGGCCGACGGCAGACGAGATTGTGGCCATTCTCGCGCCGCACCTCGACGACGACCGCAAGGCTGGCGACGGGCGCCTGGTCCCTGCGCCGTAGCCGGGACGTACGTCTGGTTTCATATTTCCAATGGATTTGAACCTTGTACATAGGGCACGCTGGATACACGACGCCCCTAGTTCACCGTACTAGCGTCCTTGTACAGAATGAAAAGCTCAAGTTTTGTTGCATCTCTGCTCGTCTTCTTCGCTCGTTTTTTCAATGTGCTTCCATACCACGGCTCCAGCAGAGACCAAACGAGCGTGGATTTGTGAACAAGAGCGTGTGGTATGGCGTGGACCATGGGCGTGGACGGTACTTGTGCTTCTACCAGCATCGTCGCAGTCCAAGCCCTAATATGCCAAAGGAATGACCGAGGCTTTCGCATCTATCGTCGTTGTCATCGACGAGTGAGGCGCAGAAATGGGCCATTCGAACCGACGCAGCAGTCGTCCGTTGTCTGCATACTATTGTACTATCCCAAAAGGAAGCGGCAAGACGCGCATTGTGGTCGACCTTTTAAAAGAAACGACCGTCTGCGCTTGTAAATACCAGGTGTGCACCAATGGACACGTTGTGTATGTAGTCGAAGGGACGCACCGGTCTGGACAACGGTCGATATTGTCTTAAGACCCGCACGCAATTTACAAAACGGATTTAAAGTGCTCGCCTGCACTCAATTTCAAGCATGTAGCATCGCCTTCGATGCTACAGACACGTTCTGAGAGGCTGTATCCAATGCCTTTCTAGATCAATGCATGGATGAATGGCGGCGCGTCGAAGGCTGCCTGGACGTCCCGCCCTGTACTCGATATCAACAGGCTTCTCATTCGTCTCTCCAAATCCAGCGGTGGGTGCAGCAATGGCCTGTGGCCGGCCGACGTAAGAGCACTGCTATAAGAGCTCAAATGCATGGTTTGATACCCAGCTCATCACAGGTGTTAGTGCTTTAGTACTTTGGAAAGATCTCAATGTACTTGATGTTGCATAGCACTTGGTCGTCGCTTCAACCACTACTTTCGTGCCTATGGCGCAGGGTGATCGTTCAAGTGCGGCGCCAAAATCGCCACAATGTCCGATGCCGTCGGGCGCTCTGCTGGGTCGAACGCCAAGCAGCGGTCTGCGAGCTCGCGCAGCCATGGCGCGCAGTCGGGGCCCATGGATGGGCGAAGGGTTCCGGCACTCACTCGCTTCAAAATCTCATCGGGATGATGAGCGTCAAAGTTGGCGTACGGTATGTCGCCCGTGTCGAGCTCTGTGAGCTCAACGCCGAACGAGTAAATGTCGGCAGGTGTTTCGTACACCACTTCGTCTTCGATGTAGCCCACCGTTGGGAAGACTTCCGGTGCCATCCACCGGTAGTGCATCGGGCAGGCCCAGCAGGTAAGTGCGTGATCGACCGTTTGCGCACACTCAAGCCCGCTGAGCTTGATACCGTGCTTGGAGGAGAGGAAGACGTTTTCGCTTCTGACATTGCGATGAACGATGTTTTGGCGATGGAGGTCCTGGAGTGCGTTGGCGATCACCCACGCGACTTGCACCGTCGTGACCTCGATGGCCGCGAAGTCTCATCCCGTCGCTTCTTGGCAAGGTAGTCGTAGAGGGTGCCTTGGTCCATAAACTCCGTCACCATCATTGGATTGTTGGGCTCGAGGTCGACGGTAGCGAGCAGCGGCAGCATGTACGGCGACTGAATCCTATCCCATGAGTTGTTAGTTTACCTGGACAAGAGCGAGACAGTGGGTCGATCGCACGTCGTTTGCAGCTTGATGTCCTCGCGCAACATTTTCAAATTGCGTTGGGAGGCGTGAGGAGGCTGCTTGATTGCAACCGGCGCGTCCTTGTAGACGCCTTTTCGCACGCTATAGTTGCTTCCACAACCCAAGTCGTGGTCTTCAATGCACACGCCCGTCGCGGCAATCTATACCAGATGGCTCAACCAAGACTAAACGAGATTTCCTCGTACCGAAGCCACCGACGGGTACATGCGATCGTAGAGCTTGCGCGCGAGTTGGTCGTGACCATGAAGTACAGCGATCGCGAGGAGGTCGAGACCATCCTATGCACATGCAAATAAGACCTCGTATGCACAGAAGGTGAAAAATGTACGGATAAGCACGTCGTAACGTCCGCGCCCGCGTTCGAGAGCCGATCGAACACGCGAGCGCATCCATAGACGGCCGCGCGCTGGAGCAACATGGCCATATCGTCGTCCTAGGCCGCTGCTTCAGCATCCGGGTCAAACAAAACTACATGTACATTGCGTGTCGTCGGAATGTTGTGTGTTTCCAGCCACGTTCTCAGCGCGGCTTGGGCACGCTCCTTGTCGTCTGGCGTCGCGTCGCGGACCTACAGAGCGTTCGTTTGTTGGCTGTCAAGAATTGATTGCTGACCGCCGTGTGTGCGAGCAGCAGCTCGAACATGGCCTTGTCCGGATCACGCTCCGTCAGACTCAATAGCTCCTGGCCGGCCTACGTATCGGAATGTGTCGTGCCGTCACATATCTGCAAAGATTGGGTACCTGGCCTGGGACATCAATCGAGGCGTTGGCGAGCAAGAGGCGATGCGCCACTGCGAGGCGACCCGGCGTCTTGACGTACACTGCGTATTGCAGCGGCGAGTAGGCTTTCTACATCGGGCGATGGGACCGTTGAATCAAACTATAAGTTTGTGCTTCGCACCTGGTCGAGCGCGTCCACATTGGCGCCGAGGGCCAAGAGGATGTCGGTGAGCGCGACGTTGCCTTGTCTCGCAACGACGTGCAGTGGCGTCCAGGCGTGCTACGCAGGAAATCTTCGTGAGACGTCGTTGTGCGGTAGCGTCCGGTACCAAGGGGTTGCGGCTCTCGGGGTCCACGCCTTGGGCTAGGAGCTCGATGGCGTCGGCCGTGTTGCCGCGCTGGATGGCGTCCCAGAGCTGGGCCTACGAGTGAGACCTCTCAGCCAGGGATCGATGGCTTGCGTGCGCACCTCGAGTCCGGTTGGTGGCGCCATGCTGGGCGGTGGCTGGCGCGTTGACGACTGACGTTCGTTTGCTTCGAAAGTGTATTTTGCTGGCGGTTGATAGCGGCTTGTGAACGCAGCCGTCGCCATGGCGACGTGCTTATCCGTACATTTTTCACCTTCTGTAGATACGAGGTCTTATTTGCATGTGCATAGGACGGTCTCGACCTCCTCGCGATCGCTGTACGTGATGGTCACGACCCCCTCGCTCGCACACTGTACGATCGCATGTACCCGTCGGTGGCATCGGTACGAGAAAGTCGCTTGGATTCTTGGTTGAGCCATCTGGTATAGATTGCTGCGACGGACGTGCGCTATGAAGACCGCTTTATTGGTCGGGGAAGCGACTTTGCAGTGCGAAAAGGCGTCTACAAGGACGCGCCAGTTGCAATCAAGCAGCCTCTTCGCATGTACCGTCGCATTATTGCAATGTTGCGCGATGAAATCAAGCTGCAAAAGATGTGCGATCGACCCAGTTCCATATTTTTGTACAGATAAACTAACAACTCATGGGATAGGATTCGGTCGCCTTACGTGCTACCGCTGCTCGCTACCGTCGACCTGGACCCCAACAATCCAATGATGGTGACGGAGTTTATGGACCAAGGCACCCTCTACGACTACCTTGCCAAGAAGCGACGTGGAGAGCCCGTGGCCATCGAAGTCACGACGGTGCAAGTCGCGTGGGTGATCGCCAACGCACTCCTGGACCTCCATCGCCAAAACATCATCCACCGCGATGTCAAGAGCTTGAAAGTTCTCCTCTCCTCCAAGCACGGCGTCAAGCTCAGCGGGATTGCCAGCGCGCGAACGGTCCACGGGCTAATGACCCATGACGTCGGCACGACGACGTGGATGGCACCGGAAGTCCTTCGAATCGACTACGAAGAAGTAGCGGCGTACGGAACACCTGCCGACATTTACTCGTTCGGCGTTGTGCTCACAGAGCTCGACACGGGCGACGAGCCATACGCCGCCGACTTCTGGAGATCTCACAGTGACATCACGGCGCGCGTGCGTGCCGGAACCCTTCGCCCATCCATGGGCCCCAACTGCGCGCCGTGGCTGCGCGAGCTCGCGGACCGCTGCTTGGCGTTCGACCCAGCAGAGCGCCCAACGGCCGCCGACATTGTGGCGATTTTAGTGCCGCACCTGAACGATCAGCCTGCGCCGTAGGCTCTGTCGTTGTGCGTGAGCCAGCAACTAAACTTCATAAAACACCAAACGTACTCGTATACTACTAGACTTCCATCCTCTCGTGGTGTCCATGATGTTCCCGATGCGTCGGGTGCTAAGCCATACAATGGACCTCTTCTTGTGTAGCAGAGCTCATCGTTCAGCTCGTTAAGGGCGGCGCCATCGACCGACGGAATACGGCTCGCACCAGACGATCTGCGGCGGTCTTGCTGCTGCAATGAGGAGCGAGATAGTGCGCAATCAAGACAACGATCTTCATGTAGTAGTAATGGCGGACGCAACTGCGATGCCAGCGTATATAGTGGTTGTCAACATGTACGCTGGCCCAGTGTTGAATTTCGCAAACTCCGAAATACTAGAGAGTTTGCAAACTTTTGAGTTGGGCTATAAAATTATCGGGTTGAAAGAGTCGCATGTGCGTGGTATGGCTAGGGACATTGGGCTAGGACATCGGCGTTTGACGTATGTAAAGTCTGTATCTTGGCGATAACGCTACTGCTGGAACGCTGTTGTCGTTGAACTGACACATGTGAGTTATATTCCATGCGATTAGAAAGATATGGTGGACTTTCTAATGCGCTCGTGAGGCGTGGCCGGTGCGCCAGCGAGGAGCGTTAGTGGTCGTGATTCGAGATCGTGCGAGTGACCAGACACCAAGGGTCGTCGCGGAGAGCGGCCAGCGACGCGTCAAGAGATGGCACCACAGCGCGACGAGCCAAGTGCCGGACGTGCAGTCTAGCGATAGTAGCTGCCCAGATCGCGAGCGCGGCAGCGGGAAGTTGCGTCAGCGTCGAGCGGAAGACACGGTTGTTGTGTTCGAGCCAAAGACTATACCAGACGCAAGCGCGTAAGATCGGCCAGAGGGCACGAACGGGCGACTTGTGGGCCGAGTACGGCGCGGCGACGTCGTCGTAGAGAAAGCCAGCGACCGACGACGGGAGTTGCATCTACAAAATGCCCCTCATCGGTGCAAAGGCGCACCAGATCGCGCAGACGTATGGGCAGCGCACCAAAAGATGGTCGTCACGGGCTTGCGCATCGCAGAGAAGCCCCAATATGCCAAAGGCTTTCGCATCTATCGTCGTTGTCATCGATAAGCGAGGTGAGCCCCGCAGACATGGGCCATCCGAACCGACGCAGCACTACCGAAGTAGTCAGTTGCCTGCATACTAACGTTATTGTACTATCCCAAAAGGAATCGGCGAGATGCGCATTGTGGTCGACCTTCTGCAAGAAAAGACCGTTTGCGCTTCTAAAGACCAGATGTGCCGATTGGACACTTTGTGGGTGCAGTGGACGGGACGCACGCATTGCTCTCTTTTCACGGGACCAGCTTTCCGCTCGGTACATGTAGCGAGTCAAGAAAGAGGTGTTCATGTTGCCTTCTTTTAGTCCAGCGGTGTAGACACTGGTCTATCATGTGTTAGGTCTGGGTTCGAGTCGCAGAGACTTTCTGATTTACACTGTACAACGTGGGGACCAAAACGTTTTGCAACAACCCCGCGCAAAATTGCACAGGATTGTTGTGGCGATCGCCTTCGAACTTCGGTTCCGGATACAAAGTACTTGTGTTCAGTAAGTCAAACGAAGCACACAGATCAACTATCATCTATCATCCAGAAGGCACCCGGATGCTTTCTGAAGGACGGTCCATCCATTCAACGGCGCGACATACCAGTGCAATCTGTATAACGCCACGTCAAAACGTTAATGTTGGCACGCTGTATCAGGGATGCACCCACGTCCATTTGATCTGATGGCTTTCGCTTTCCTGCAAGATATATCCCGTCGTACCGGCAGGGTGGAGACCGTGTTACTCTAAAAAGATCTCGTGCAGTGCTGGCCATTGGTGGTGTGCGATTCAAAGATAGTCCACAGCTCCGTAAGCTAGCCATCGCTTTCGATCTTCACACCGACTGTCAACCAAGCTCTCACTCGACATGTGAGAACAATTGGCACACTCTCTCATTCACGACGGCCCACGGTTGATGGCGACGCGTGTAGCATCCGGATACACTGTTGTGCCCAGCACGATTGGGTGACTCATCGGCCAATCAATCAATTGAGAGGCAGCCGCGATCGATAGCAGTGGATCATTGTCCAAGTGGCGGCCATGACGCCATCGCAGCGCGAGAGAGAGGTTACACAGAGCCGCTGACGGTAATAACGAGCGTCCATAGCTGGCCCTGCACGCGGCGGCGCAACGTGGCGATCTGAACGACGTCGCCATGCTTCTCCTCGACGGTGTCAACATCAACTGCACACCCAACGGCGTACACCAAGCGTGTGATCTAGCACATCAATGTGCATACATATTTCTGTAGGGCTCGACCGCATTGCACAAGGCGACGTACTGCAATAAGTTGGACGTCGTTGGCTTCCTCCTCACCAACGGCGCCGACGTGGAAGCGCGGGACGAGGTACAACATTTTGCTTTCATGAGTCATCAACTTCAAGAGTGCTGCCTTAGGACGGCAACACGCCTTTGATTCTAGCTGTTTTCTTGAACCACGTGTCGATCGTTCGTCTGCTCTTGGAGAAACGCGCCAACATTGACGTCCACGACTACGTACATCCAGAACCCGACGACGCGGCATGCGATCGCCGTGTTAACTGAAGCACCGTGTGGACTGAAGCATTTATGTGCATCTAGTTTGGCCAGACGCCGTTCCTTTTCGCCGAGAAGAAAGGCCACGTTCAAGTGACACAGCTTCTGGTCGAGTATTCGTCCAAACGAGTCTACGAAGCCGAGGTCGTCGAATGGCGAGGCGCTTGCATTCATGGACGATGCGTCGTAGCTCTTGCAAGCGCTGCGCGAGAAGCAGTACCCGGACGCTGCGACGCTTCTGCATCAAGATATCATTGACGCAAACCTCTGCGACCATGTACCTCCTTATCGCTCAAAGCACGTGCCTCGATGGGTCGTAGGACAAGATGCCGTTGCTGCATTTGATTGTCGCGACTCAAAACATGTGGCTGCTCCGGACGATGCTCGCCAAGCCACAGCTCGACGTGAATGCAAGAGACAAGGTGTAATCTGCCGCGTCTTTTCACGCACTGACTGTGCTTGGCACATAGGGCGGGCGCACCGCTCTCACGTTTGCGATCGCGCTCTTCAACGTCGAAGTGGCGCTAGCGCTGTACCAAGCAGGCACCCGTATTGATATGGCAAGCACGGTACACCACTATACTACCCGTGCTGCATCGACGACAGATCCACGTATGTAGAAGCTACTGGCGTCGACGCCTCTTTTTGGCAACGCGCTGCTCCGCGCTGCCTCGGTCGATGACGCCAGCGTGGTCATCCAGCTACTCGGTCTCGGTGTCCTTCCCGCGTTTGCCAACGAGGTGCAATGCAATCGGAAATCGTTCGATCGTGCAACATGCTTGATGGGGTGTAGACCGGAGAGACGGCACTGCATCTCGCGGCTGCCAAGGGCCACACGACCACCGTGACGAGGCTGCTGGAGCATCTTCAGGCGGGCGACGACCTCAACGCGACGAATCACGTACGTTTCTCACGCGATGATTCGACCACGGCCGATCGAGTGGCGACAACGTGCAGGTGCATCGCCGCTCTTTGTCGCGATAGCCGGCGGCCATGCACACGTCGTCGGCCAGCTCGTGGCGGCCAATGCGAGAAAAGATTGCGTGACCAACGTACCTATGTTTTTTGGATAAGAGTTCTCGAAGCAGCACCGTCATTATTCCTTGTAGGACGGCTCGACGCTGCTGCACGCGGCGGTCCGCAGTCGCAACATGAGTCTTCTGGACCTTGTCCTCTCCTTCGCAAGCGACCGGAACGCATGTGATTCGGTAACGTATATTTTACTTTTTCACTGGCACCGACCGCCAAATGCTACATGATAGCTGGGCCAGACACCGCTGCACGTCGCGGTGCTTCTGCACCACAAAGAGGCCGTGACCTGCCTCGTACGCGCCGACGCCAATGTCTTTGCAACGACCAAGGTATCGCACCCTATTCCTTTTGTGTGGTGAAAGAGCCATCGGTATGCGATGCAGCGGGGCATGACGCCGTACATGTCGGCCAGTGACCCGGGCATCCGTGCTATTCTAAAAGACGCAGAGACCGTCTTCGACGAGCAGGTGCGTGGTGTTCAAAGCGGATGGTAGCGAGAGGTGTGTTTTAGTTGGCGCGGCGCTTGGAGGCTGCCGAACGCCGAAACCCACCTCCTCGGCGCCACTCGGACGCCAGTGCGCCCACACTCTATCAAACCACCCGGTCGCTGCCGGTGCGTCGACTCTGAGAATTGGATGTACTTTTCATCTGATATTTCGATAGACACCTACCGATCGACGCAAGCAACCCGCGTCGAACGTGGTACACACTCGGACGCGATGTACCGTCTACTGAAATGTGGCTGGTGCAGGGGCTCATCGAGGCAGTCCGACAACAAGAGTACGACACAGTGCTTCAGCTTTTGGCGGATGGGGGCAACCCGAACGCTGCCACCGAGGTGCAACATGCCAACTAGTGGTGCAGAGACCGATGCATGGACTAGGCGGGCGACTCGCTCTTGCATCTCGCAGTCATCGGTGGCGACCACAAGATCGTGTCGGTGCTCTCCCAGACACGAGGCGTCCGCCTCCACGTTCGCAACGCGGTACCATTTCTTGTGTGTGGCGATCCCGACAACGACAAAGCTACTGCAGGATGGCTGGACGCCGCTAGTTCTCGCAGTTCAATTGGGTCGCCGACGGCTGGCGAGCCTTCTCCACACTGCAGCGCGCACCTTGACGCCCGTGGTATGCACGGTGGCCCACGCCAAGGATCTCGACCCGGCGACGACGCTTCCGTCGCACGACGTCGTCGTCGATTTCGCCTCTCTGCTTGGCGGGGGCGCCCATGGCAACGTGTACAAAGGCACGTACAAGGGTCGCACGGTCGCCGTCAAGTTTGCAAAGCAAACCACCGACGCGACAGGACTCGAGAAAGAGATCGAGACCATGCAGCTGTACGTCTTGGCCGCATTATTCTACATGCGTGGACGCGTTGTCGTCCTAGGTGCCCGTCGCCGTACGTGCTCAGGCTTCTTGCGTATACAAAGTCGTCCAACCCGAAGCCGATCCTCGAGTACATGGACGCGGGCAATCTGCACGAGTACCTCGTTTGCAAGCGACTTGGAGAGACGACGGCGGTGCATGTCACGCCGTTGCAGGTGGCGTGGGTCGTTGCCAACGCCCTTGCCGATTTGCACCACGACGGTCTGCTGCACCGCGACATCAAGAGCCCGAACGTCCTCCTCTGCGCGACGAATTTCATCAAGCTCGCCGACCTCGGAATCGCACGCGAGTTCGAGTCCGACATGACCATGGGCATCGGTACACTGCGCTGGATGGCGCCCGAGCTACTCGATAGACATGGCAGCTACAACGCAGCGGCCGACATGTATGCCTTTGGCGCGCTCTTGACCGAGCTCGACACGCTCGAGCTACCCTTTGCATCCGAGACAGTGTCAGACGACATCAGACGCAAGCTGAGCGAAGGCTCGCTTCGCCCGCACTTTACGCCCACCTGTGCGCCGTGGCTCCACGACCTCGCGACCGCGTGTCTGTCGTTCGACCCAACAGCGCGGCCGACCGCGCAAGAGGTTGTTCATCGACTGCAACGGCGACCAAGCGCGCAACCACAAGGCGGCGGAGTCTGTGACCACCAAAGTTTTCGTCGTCGTCTTCAAGCGTGAGCTTGGCGGCGCCGTTGGCCAAGTCCGCGTTGTTGGCCAAGCGCTTTTCGGTCGCCGACTTGTGCTCGAGGAGGAGCGCAGCTAGTTGATTCGAAGTTGGCGCCAGGCCAAGCGAATAGAGAGGATGAGATATACCAATGTCGGTGTTTCGCTCTGGAAGGCCTCCGTGATGCAGCCGCGGCCAAAGGCGTTCTGCGCGAGAACGTCAATGTCCACAAGAGCTCGAATGCACGGTTTGATATCCAGCTCAGCACAGACGTTAGTGCTTTGCGTCGGAAAGATTTCAATGAACTTGGTGTTGCTTAGCACTTAGTCGCCGCTTCAAACACTACTTTAGAGCCTATGGCGCAGGTTGATCGTTCAGGTGCGGCGCCAACATCGCCACAATGTCGGCGGCCGTTGGGCGCTCCGATGGGTCGAACGCCAAGCAGCGGTCCGCGAGCTCGCGCAGCCATGGCGCGCAGTCGGGGCCCATGGATGGGCGGAGGGTTCCGGCAAGCACTCGCGGTATGATGTCACGGTGAGATGATGTCCGCAAGTCGGCGGCGTACGGCTCGTCGCCCGTGTCGAGCTCTGTGAGCACAACCCCGAACGAGTAAATGTCGGCAGGTGTTCCATCCACCACTTCGTCTACATGGTAGTCGCGACTAAAGACTTCAGGTGCCGTCCACATCGGCGTGCCGACGTCATGGGTCATTAGCCCGTGGACCGTTCGCGCGCTGGCAATCCCGCTGAGCTTGACGCCGTGCTTGGAGGAGAGGAGAACTTTCAAGCTCTTGACATCGCGATGAACGATGTTTTGGCGATGGAGGTCCTGGATTGCGTTGGCGATCACCCACGCGACTTGCACCGTCGTGACCTCGATGGCCACGAAGTCTCCATGTCGCTTCTTGCGAAGGTAGTCAAAGAGGTTGCCTTGGTCCATAAACTCTGTCACCATCTTGAGATTGTTGGAGTCGTCGTCGACGGTAGCGAGCAACGGCGGCATGTACGGCGACCGAATCCTACCATGTGAGTTGTTAGTTTATATGTACACCAATGTGAAACTGGGCCGATCGCACGTCGTTTGCAGCTTGATGTCCTCGCGCATCATTCCAAAAGACCACCGCCAAATGCAAAGAGGCTGCTTGATTGCAACCATTGCGTCCTTGTAGACTCCTTTTCGCACGTAATAGTAGATTCCGCAACCAAGATCGTGGTCTTCATAGCGCACGTCCGTCGCAGCAATCTATACCAGATGGCTCAACCAAGACTGAACGAGATTTCCTCGTACCGATGCCACCGACGGGTACATGCGTTCGTAGAGTGCGCGCGCGAGTAGGTCGTGGCCATCACGTACGGCGATTGCGAGGAGGTCGAGACCGTCCTGTGCACATGCATGATGCATTTTGCATGGACAGAAAGGTGAAAAAATGTACCGAGACGCACGTCGCCATGCCGACGGCTGCGTTCACGAGCCGTTCGACCACGCGAGCGCACCCATAGACGGCCGCGCGCTGGAGTAACATGGCCATATCGTCGTCCTAGGCCGCTGCTTCAGCATCCGGGTCAAGCGAAACCACATACATTGCGTGTCGTCGGAATGTTGTGTGTTTCCAGCCACGTTTTCAGCGCGGCTTGGGCACGCACCTTGTCGTCTGGCGTTGCGTCGCGGATCTACAGAGAGGTATTGGGACCTTGTTGGCTGTCCAGAATGGATTGCTGACCGCCTTGTGTGCGCTCAGCAGCTCAAACATGGCCTTGTCCGGATCACGCTTCGTCAGACTCAATAGCGCCTGGCCAGTCTACGTATCGGAAAGTGCCGTGCCGACACATATCTGCAAAGGATAGATACCTGGCCTGGGACGTCGATGGAGGCGTTGGCGAGCAAGAGGCGATGCGCCACCGCGAGGCGACCTGACGTCTTGACGTACACTGCGTATTGCAGCGGCGAGTAGGCTTTCTACAGCGGGCGATGGGACCGTTGAATCAAACTATGCGTATGTGCTTGGCACCTGGTCGAGCGCGTCCACGTTGGCGCCGAGGGCCAAGAGGATGTCGGTGAGCGCGACGTTGCCTTGTCTCGCAACGACGTGCAGTGGCGTCCAGGCGTGCTACGCAGGAATCCTTTGTCAGACGTCGTTGTGCGATAGCGTCGGGTACCAAGGGGTTGCGGCTCTCGGGGTCCGCGCCTTGGGCTAGGAGCTCGATGGCGTCGGCCGTGTTGCCGCGCTGGATGGCGTCCCAGAGCTGGGCCTACACGTGGTAACTCTCAGCCAGGGATCGGTGGCTTGCGTGCGCACCTCGAGTCCGGTTGGTGGCGCCATGCTGGGCGGTGGCTTGCGCGTTGACGACTGACGTTTGTTTGCTGCGAAAGTGTATTTTGCTGGCGGTTGATAACTGTAAGTGATATATTGCCAGATGGTATCCGCCACTATCCGGCTCCAATGGACAGTGGAACAACTTGTGACCTCACAATCTCTATTGATATGCCGAGTATATTAGGACGCAGCAGCAGCAGCAGTCGACCGGGGACGAAATCTGTACACTTGAAATCTCTCGTCTATTTGTCAGCACTGTTGTATCAGTGCAGTACCTATGGTATTAGAATCGGGTAGTTAAAGCAATCTGAATCGCTAAGTGATGTACTGTAGGATATTGTGACTTTACTCGAATTGGCTATTCTGAGTCCTTTATTCCATGTGTGTAGGCCTAATTCCAGATGGAACATGGAATTAGCTTCCGTGGGTGCTCGAATTATTTTTTTAAACGCGTCGCGAAAAAATAAAGCAAGCTGCGTACCTAGGTGAAATTACGGCGTTGGTACCTCAAATTACGCCGTAAGCACTTTGGATTGCATCATTTCCACCTGGATCTACTCCGCGGACCTCGTTTTGGCGTGTTTCAAGGACCCAAAAACACGCCAAAACGAGGTCCGCGGAGTAAATCCAGGTAGAAATGATGCAATCCAAGGTGCTTACGGCGTAAATTGAGGTACCAACGCCGTAATTGTGGATTCTCTCTCGCTAATTATATTTCTTCACGCACTTCGTCGAATTACTGGAGGAGGCTTTTCAAGGTGCCCAAGTGCAAAATAAAATAATTCAAGTGCAGCAGGCAGAATTACGCCGTCCGGATCTCGATTTACGAATTACACCATATCGAATTAGCTCCTTAATCCGACCGGCATTCCGAGTGAAAGTCACAATACCTTGTCTCGTTCGGACAATGGCTCGGACGCGCGCCACCCCTTCCCCTATTTTTTCTTTTAAAATACACATATAGGAAACGCTATCTTGTGATCTTGGCCAGCTTTATAAAAATAAATGTCCGAACGGTCCGAACATTTGCAGGGTACTCGATATCCGCGTAAAAATAACATACAAAGCCGGAGTTATAAAATGCAAATGCGTGGAATACCCGATACCGAGCTCAACCTCGGACGGCTTCGTTCGGACAAGGTGGGGTGAATAAAACATTTGAAACTGTGTTTTAAACGAAGGCTCCGATTGTCATTCGCAGCATTTG